AGATTTATCAGCATGTTTGGGATGCATTTGAATCCCTCCAGTTTCTACAATTGTGCTGGAAGTCAGGAATCACATTTTATTGAATGTAAGGAAGCCAAATGAAGTGGGACCACTGTCCCAAGGGCAGGAAGAGTAGCTAACATCAGTAGGAGGAGTCTGCAAGACAAGCAGCAGTACATGAACCTGTGGGTGGGAACCACTGTCCTAGCCACCCTCATGAAGGATGATGTGATCTGCGCATGCTTCATACTCAGACTGAGCCATGCGCATGCTGTTTTAATGAAGGAGATTGTGCCATGAGAACAAATGTTTCCTAAGTCTTTTTAAAAAGCACAATGAAAACAAAAACCCCAGCAGACCCAGATTTCATCCTTTGGAAATGAGAATAAAGGCCATTTTTTCTCTGATGACAGCTAGTCATTATCTGGAAAGAAGCTTGGGTTTTGTTTTGGTTTTTTGTATACAACATACTGTTGTATTTTTTCATGTGAAACTGATGAATTATTTTCTGATGATTCTACTGCTCTGGCTGCCTGGATATGAACACAATTGTCTGTATTTATTGATAAACATACAGTTATGAATCTGGATGTTACTTTACGGGTTAATCAGCAGGATTCAATTAATGAGGAAGGCTTCAGCTCAGGTAACTTTAGCTTAGACTAGAGGCCTGCTTTTTGAATGACTTCTCATCTAGGTCTCTCTATAGTCAATAACAAGAGACAAGTTCCCCCAGCTGTAAAGTCATCCCAACATGAAATGGAGCTGAACAGCACTCTGTAGGTTGCTAACTTCCCACTGAGTGTAGAAAGGGGTCTAAAAATTAATTTTAGACAAGACATTTAACTTTTTAAACAGCTTAAGACAGATTAGTTAGATTAGCTACATTAGTTCTAGCTCCTAAACATAAGATGCTTGAGCAACAGTCTTGGGACAACAATTTGTTCCTAAACTGACACTTACCAATGGGGAAAGTTGAGAAACTCCCTAGAAAGAAAATTTGGGAATGCTTTTGGTTTATTTATCTACCTTAAACTCCCACCCCACCAA